CATATTCAAATGTAATTAAATGAAATTTAGGTCAAATATTTTGTTTTTATCAAAATCGAAAAGAAAAGAAAAAAATTTTCTATGGCATAAACAATTGAATGATGAATTATTCATGAAAATCAAATAAAGATAATTTATCATGGTTTATTAAATAGAATTTCCCTATTAAATTCTAATCTGAATTTTTAAATAGTCAGTCAGCAAAATAAATTACAGCTTCTATTTATGATGATGATGATAATACACTTGATAAAAGTAACTGAATCAATGAAATTTCCTCCATTTACTCATTGTGTTTTTTTTTCTTTTTTCTTCTCTATAAACCGTAATATTTTTTTAAAATATGTTTACATGAGACGAATAGGTGACAAAGGAAAACATACAATAATAATGTTATTCTATAAATAAGATGAAGTTTCGTTAGAATTCGACATAATAGACAACAAAGTTTACGGAAAAATCAATTCAGTCATAAATAATGGTTGTTTTCTTTGGAATTCTATTAGAGTATCTGCAAATACGTACAAATTGTAACCATAGAGTTCCGGATTCCACTGCTAGCTACTATCCATCTTTGCATATAATGCTTGTGAATTAAGGCTATATAGAGGCAATACACAAAGTTAGCACATATGCCAATGATAGATTGATCAATTGCAGTCCTAATCATTAATAGGAAGATTCAAGTAAACGATACCAAGTGAATTTTCACAGATACTTGTGTTTAAAAAAAATGTCTAACACCTAAATTCCTGCATAAATTCAAGTGTGTATTCATGTCAATATCAACTTCAACCATGATATCGATCATTTAGTTTATCATTTTTAATAAACATTTCAATTTCATGACAGCGTTATGACTGAACTGTATAGAGATGATTCATTTTTATCATTGTAAACTATATTTATACTTCAGTTTAAACTATCTACTTTATTCTCAACTATCCAGATGAAGTTGATAAGCAGCGGCGTCACTAAATCACACTAAAAAAAAAAACAATAAGGTTAAAATATGTTAAATTAGCTCTATTCACTATCGTACCTCCAGAGTTGACAAAACTTTCGCCGAAACTATCATTTAAAGTAAACTCAATTAGGTATATCTACTTCAACTTTCAGTTTCATGCTAGGTTTGTTGTATGTGTTTCCGTAAGATATTACACTTTATTAACTAAAACAGAATAATACTTTTATAACTGAAAATTATATTTAGATGTCAGGTAAAGTTTCTAATTCTTATTTCTACACTGAATGATAGTAATTATAGCAATTTTAGAAGAATCGTTTGTTTGATACCTTATTTAATACATTGATTGAATGTGATTTCAATATAAACTAAGGTAACTATTCATAAGTATCAACAGATTTTTCAATGGGCATCAGCCTTTTGAAAAGCAGATCAAACTGCTATTCTATAGTTTATTCAAAGTTGTTTTTCATACACTTTTTTCTTACAAAAATACAGAACTGGCATTGTACATACTAACTCATAGTGCCTTCCAATTTTAAGTAGTTTCTAACTCAACGTTGCATAGACAGATTCACTTTTATGATCAAAAAACCTTAGAAAAACAATTTCACATACACGAAAGTACCTACTGGTGATTAACGATCTTGTGAAACTTTATGATAGCAAAAGAAACAAAACCAAAGTATTGTTACACAATCAAGCCCAGTATGTAACATTCACTTTTTGAGATATCTGGAATATGAAATAATTCAAGCAACAAATATGTGAAAAGACTAAACTAATGCAAACATGTCATTACAATGTAGTGTGTGTGACTAGCTGAATACTTACCTATCCTGAATTAGTATTTGTTTTAGATTTCCACAAAATTCATTTAGAGACATGAGTGCATACTGACTCTTGACGAATTCTTTTTTCTGGATATGATGATGTAAACAAGCAACAAGAATTAAAGAATAAATCAGACTGTTGACATTAATCCTATAGTATCTTCTATGTATGTTTATAATTAGGCTAGGGTTGATTTTCATCCGGAGTGTCGATAAAATAATTAGTACGTTGAAAAAATTACCAATTAATTACCTTGTTTATTAATAATAACAGTTAATAATATGTATAAGTTCTTTAGGTGTGATAGCAACGAAATCCTCTCTAGACGATGAACGTCTGATTATTTGTAAGATTTAATGGAACCACTTCATCATAATTGTAGTTGAGTCTCGAAAATACTAGTCTTTGGAATATCAAGATTAAAAGCCTTAGCCACATTCATGATTTTTGGGAAATATCCTTACAATATTTCGGTCAAATTAACCTTTTAACTGAGTTTATATCATAAAACGCACGAAATAGAAAATTACTTTGAAAATATATATGGATAAACGTATATTGGACCTTAGACATGTAAAATCTAAAACTTGATAGCTAAAATCCTCAGTTATTTTACAAACTTGACCTTATAAACTATTAACTCCAATAACCATACCAAACGGAACACTAATTTCAAAATATAAAAAGCCAAAAAGAATATCCGTCCTGAAGAACGTATAATGCAAAAATCAACTTTCATTGCAACGAAAGTGAGGAATCCGCTGTTTGTTGTCATGGTTTGTGGAATCTTTAATGTATATTATCAGATTTCTTATAAGAATTGGTAAAAGTCACTAAAACATTAGATAATGTTTAAAAAAAGACAATATATACTTATATGATCCTTGACACCATACTTTTTTCTCTTTATTGTTGTAATTCGATTGGTTGAATTTGTTATGATTTTAATGTTGACGATCATATCGTAGTATAATTCAAATGATAGGAAATAATGTGATCTCCACAAAATAGCTTAAACATTTTGACGAGATTAACTTAAGTACATAATAATCATTGAAAGCATCTTCCGTAAATAAAAAATAACGCATTAAAGTTTTTATTTGACTAAGTGTTGAGCGGACTTACTTTGAATAAAGGAAGATCTTTCAAAAGCATCATTCTATGATTTCCATAAATACGTTTATTAAAAAAAAACAGATCGTTATTCATCTTGTACTGCTCTTAGTAATTTTGTTGCTAATATTGAAGTTAGTACTTTAAGAACACTTCATCATTTGATAGTAATTTATATAATTTCTACGTAGATGACAGGTTAATTACAAACACAGCACTAAAGCACCGATAGGTAATATCACTGTATTTTGTAAAGGCTGACAATCACAAAGTAATTTATATATCATTTTTGTTAATAAATATTGTTTCAATCATTTGTTTCTTTTAAAATTACACCATCCAGATACCTTGCTTAAACAGCTTTTAACTGATAATATTAATATCTTATTTAACCATTGCATGTATTACTATTTTAATTGATATTTTGCTCAAGTCTGAGATTTGTTTTTTTTTATAATGATTATCTCAGTGCTCTGTATATATGCATGATATACATGTTTATATTTAGACACGGTTACATATGAAACATTGTTGTGACTTTTATGATTCTACGTTTTATTACCTTTTTAATATTCAGAAAAGATAATATAACAAGGATCATGCGCTAATTATCTTCAAATACAGATATTTTTGATCGGTTCAGAAATTATCAGTTATCTATTACATAATGTATATACACTAAATATGATAATAAAAATTGTGTAATAATTCTAACGTAACTTTATCCTTCTTCAACTAAAAATATGTGTTGAATACATGTTGGATTTTACAGCTATTACGATGGCGACTAAATGAGAGCATTTTTAAAAGGCGCAAATTGATCAGTGTTAAAACTACAAAAGCGTAGTTTAAACTATATTTATACCCTGCGTTGGTCATTGAATCGTCCGAGTTTATCTAAATGATTCAATTAATCGGGTGTAAACATATTGACAAATCGGTAAATTACTTTACCCCATGCTTTGACATTTCCATTTGACATTTATCAGCCAACTGAAAACGTTTGCATCAAATGAAATGGATTTTAGTATTTATCTTTTGGAAATCCATTGTAAGTTTGATTTCAGTATTCTTTAGAGATTTATTGAGTCCGTTTTATACGAAAGGGAGAAACAAACCAGTAATTACACACACTGTTTGATATAAATCTAAATGACCAAGTTTAATAAACCTTATACATTCTCAAATACTCCACCGCATTATCATGTGTTAAAGCAAACACTTTCATGAAGTAAATCTATTTTATGGTATTAAGCACAGGACCATTACGCTTTAATTACAATTGATATTTCAATCTCAACGATCATTGTTAAATATAACAAAGGTATTTCGTTGGTGTAGTTATGTTACTAACTGCCTAACTGCTCAGCATAAACATATTACCAAATATCTGTAATTTGATTTCGTGCAGTAGTTATGTTTCAATATTTTTCTCCTCTACGGCTTAATACCCGTAAAGTGTACATACAGATGTTCGACAGTTATTCTGATGTAAAACAAAAAGCTTCATCTTTCTAATGGTTACGTCATAATTTCGTCTACATATTTTTACTCACACACCTAAACCGATATACTATTTCTGCAGAGTTTAAAAATACTCAAGCAATGTTTTGCTCCCTGCACATTGCCGTCTTTTCAAAAAATTTGGCAACTCATCTAACCCATCCACTTACGATTCTTGGCCTATAAGTGAATAGTCTATAAATGGATTTTTTGAAACTATGACATGTAAAACCAATTATTTTGGATGTGAGAATAATTATGATGAGAACTAGGATATAAATAAATGAATTCTATCACCAGAGTTTGATGGTAGAGTGATACTGGGTTATAAAATATATATATATATATATATATATATATATATATATATAAGTAGCTCTATGCTGGGGCAACAAAAATGCGCAATACCAAATGGCATTCGACAGTTCTCCTCTGAACAGTTATTTTTGATGAATATCACCTTCAAAATATATAAAATATATTTATAGATCATATACCTAAATACTGTGATCATTTTTATTTTAATTTCAGTGATATAAGAAGTCGTTGTAACACAATTAAGAATTAGTCAATAATAACTTACCAAAAATTAATAATAATAAATCACTGACAGATAATGTAAATAAATAACAATTTGTCCTGGTATGCATAAACGAATTACGAGCAATTACGATACATGTAGCTAAATTACCAAGTAGACCGGTGCAAAAAATAGAAGTATATACAATACCAATTGAAATTTGACGTGTTAACGACATACTCTGTGGTCCTAATTCATGTTCAATCCACATAAATTTCAATTCATCTATTAGTTCATTACAGTTTGTAGTATTTACATTCATTTTTTCAATGAACGATTTCAACAATGATGGGATGTTTTTTTAAAAAGATAAGTAAATAAAATAGTGACTTTACTGAAAAGAAGATTTCTACAGATGAACTCATTTCAATCTGAATAAAAACTATCGCCCAAAACAAATTAGATCTGAAAAATTTCTAACCTATGCATTTAATCCTTTAAAACTATTCGTTAATAAAATAGAACCAATTACTGTAAAGTTATTGAATAATAAGAATTATGTCAGAAGTGTTGTGAAAGCAAAACACTCTTTTAGCTCCGTGAATTTATTTAGACTGAACAGAAAGTAGACGTTTTTTGTTGACAAGGTTATATTTCCAAAAATCTCAAATACTATTTCCTTACTGGTTATCAGTTGGTTTTAAATATCCTAAATGTTAGCTACTCACAAATTAACTGTTTCATAACTAAAGAGTGACTTCTAATCATTTATATCTAATAAAACTCTTGAATTTTTTGTTCGTTGAATAGATAAGGCTGCTGAAGCAAAACTTTACTTAACGATGTGTTTTAATGAATCAAGTTTTTGACTGGATATGACAGAAACTTGTCTCTTGTCATATAACTAAAGCAAACTTGAAGGAAGAAGAAACCGATTCAGATGTAGCAATTTAATGAAGGAACTATTTTCGACACTACAAAACGACTTTTCGATTCATCAATTTTAGTGAATATATGTCAAGACTTTAAAAAAGCGTTTTATAGAAATTTAGCCCCAATTATGTAAAATAAATTAGACAGTAAAAGATATTTGTGAAGTCTTCAGTTAATAAAATTTCACCAGTTCCAACGTTTGGTCAAACTAACTGGTTTGAATTTCTTCAGAGAAATAATAATCAGGTTATCAAATGGTGCTTTTTAGTTTTGATCTTAGTTGTCTATGATCAAAGATATTATAAGAATATCTTTAAATTCTAAAAATATATGTCGCCCACATAAAACATGTCATGAGTAGGGTTTTTTCGATAACAATGTATGGTTGATTGCTTGTAATAAGAATATCCAAATCCGTTTCGGCAAAGCTTTTATTTTTTACGAACGGTTAATTTGTTAGCATTCTAAGACAGAAAACGGTCATCATTTGTTTCTTTATCCACAAGTTCAGAAAAGTATGCTCTAAGGACAATGTCAAGACTGATAAATCTAAATCTAAAGACTTAAACGGTCGGGAAAGGTGTCCATTTTGTTCTGTCATAGAATCTATAAATTAAACTGGGCTCTGAACTTGTTATTCCACAATGAAAATCTTCGAGATCAGTGAGTAAACTTTCTTTATCCGTGGAATGTGGTGAATAAAGAAAAACTTATTTATGTAATGATGACAAGCTAGCATACTGTCTTATAACTAACCTCTTACCAGTCCACTTCCTTCTGGAGAACAGATTAAGTGTTTACTCTTTCATAATTGGTAAGTGAATGCTGTTATTACTTACTTTACATCTGCATCAGATCCACCCTGTTCATCAATGATGCTGCCCAAATATGTAAAGGTTTTTACATCTTCCAAATCTTCTCCGTCAATTGTGATTGGATTGGTGCATTCTGTGTTGTATCGGAGAATCCTGCTTTTCCCTTTGTGTATATTGAGACCTACTGCTGCTGAGGCTGCTGCCACACTGGTCGTCTTCTCCTGCATTTGTTGTTGCGTTTGGGATAGAAGGGCCAGATCATCTGCGAAGTCCAGATCGTCCAACTGCATCCTAGATGTCCATTGTATCCCGTGCTTCCCTTCAGACGTTGACGTCTTCATGATCCAGTCGATCACCAGGAGAAAGAGAAAGGGTGAGAGTAAGCAACCTTGCCTGACACCGGTCTTTACCTCGAACGACTTTGTCAACTGTCCTCCATGCACAATTTTGCAGTGTAATCCATCATATGAATTCTGTATGATATTGACTATCTTCTGAGGCACGCCGTAGTGTCGAAGAAGTTTCCATAGTGTTGTTCTGTCCACGCTATCAAATGCCTTTTCGTAGTCAATGAAGTTGATGTAGAGTGATGAATTCCATTCAATTGATTGTTCCACAATGATCCGTAGAGTTGCGATTTGGTCTGTACACGATCTATCCTTACGGAATCCTGCCTGTTGGTCACGAAGTTGGGCGTCTACGCAGTCCTTCATCCTGTTTAACAATACCCTGTTGAAGACTTTTCCCGGTATTGAGAGAAGAGTGATGCCCCTGTAGTTATCACACTTGCTGAGATCGCCTTTCTTCGGTATTTTGATCAGAAGTCCTTCTTTCCAGTCTTTTGGTACTTGTTCCTCATCCCAAATCTTATTGAAGAGAATGTGGAGTATCCTTGCAGTTGCCGCTACGTCTGCTTTTAGTGCCTCTGCTGGATGTTGTCCGGTCCTGCTGCTTTGCCACTCTTGATTTGTCTGATGGCCATGCTGATTTCTTCAATTGTTGGTGGGCCAACATTGATTGGGAGGTCCGTGGGTGCTGCTTCGATGTTGGGTGGGTTCAGTGGAGCTGGTCGATTCAAGAGTTCTTTGAAGTGTTCTACCCACCTGTTTTGTTGCTCTTCAATGTTGGTGATTACCTCGCCTTCCTTGCTTTTCACTGGTCGTTCTGGTTTGCGGCGATTTCCAGAGAGTTTCTTTGTCGTGTCATACAGTTGTCTCATGTTTCCTTCTCTTGCAGCCTTTTCCGCCGTCGTTGCTAAATCTTCCACATATTTACGTTTGTCGGTTCTGATGCTCCTCTTCACTTGTTTGTTTACTTCTGTGTATTCAGCTTGTGCCTTGGCTTTTTCTGCTCTTGTTCGACTGGTATTGATTGCTGCCTTCTTGTTCCTCTTTCTTGAATCTTATCCAGTGTATCAACAGTGATCCATTCCTTGTGATGGTGCTTCTTGTGACCCAGGACCTCATGACATGTTGAAGTGATTGCCTCTTTGATCCCCTTCCAGTTGCTCTCCACAGTAGTTCCTTCTCCATTGAGTAGATCATGAAAGGCCTGGAACTTGTTGCTGAGGACTATCTTGAATTTGTTGAGTTTGTTAGTATCCTGAAGAAAGGCCGTATTGAACTTTTGTGATATTGTCCGCCCCGTTGTCCAGTGCTTCTTGAGTTTCAATTTCATCTTGGCGACCAGCAAGTGATGATCTGATGCTATATCAGCTCCTCTCTTGGTTCTCACGTCCTCTATAGTCCTCCTGAACGTTTTGTTGATGCAAATATGGTCGATTTGGTTTTGTGTGGTGTGATCCGGTGAAGTCCATGTGGTTTTGTGTATGCGTTTATGTGGGAATATGGTGCCGCCTATGACCAGCTTATTGAAGGCACATAGATTTGCAAATCTCTCACCATTTTCGTTTCTTTCTCCCAGTCCGTGTCGTCCCATGATGTCTTCATATCCAGTGTTGTCCGTTCCAACCTTGGCGTTGAAATCTCCCATCAGAATAGTCAGGTCCTTTGTTGGGCACTTCTCGACGATTGACTGCAGCCTATTGTAGAATTGATCTTTAGCGTCTTCATTGTAGTCGTTGGTAGGCGCATAGCATTGGATGATGTTCATTGAAATACCCTCTTTCTTTGTTTTGAACGAGGCTTTGATGATCCTTGGTCCATGAGATTCCCATCCTATAAGCGCATTTTGCGCTTGTTTGGACAGCATCAATGCAACTCCTTGTGTATGTGGTGCATTTTCATCTTCATGGCCGGAGTATAACAGGAGCTCTCCTGTAGTTAGTCGTTGTTGTCCAACTTGTGTCCAATGTGTTTCACTGATCCCAAGTACCTCTAGGTTGTATCTTCTCATTTCTGCAGCAATTTGGAAGGCTCTCCCGGTGTCCCACATTGTACGAACATTCCATGTACCTAAATAAATGGTCGCTCTGGTTGTCAGAAGGGGCATCGGCCTCGTAACTTCCGAAGGAATTCGGCTTTCATCATGAGGCGTCATAATTCTTCTAAATGAAGACCTTCTGACTCCCAGGGCAGAGTTTAAAAGGTTTGAATAATTTTTTCTGGTTAGCGTTTTTTTAGCGAGTTAGTTTTCTACGGGATGGGGACGCTAACCCCATGCCCAACCCTCCTCCTTTATCCGGGCTTGGGACCGGCAGTAGCCTCCGGAGGGGCTCCAGGCGGAGTTATACCCATGTAATTTAAAGTGAACGGAGAAAAAATATACAGCCTTAATAAATATCAACTCATCACTTCGGTATTTTGACTTGAGAGATCCTGAACAGAAATAAGAATATAAAATCTACATTTAATCAAATCACTAGCAACCAAGTAACTGAAACCAATATTTATTATTTCTACCCTACCACAGATTTGAAGAAATAATGTCGACCATTTTATTCTATCTACAAATTTACACTACCTCACATGACTTATTGCTTAAATGCATGACTGTGTTGCCTTTTTTGAGCATTACAGAATAAATATGAAGCAATAACTTCTAAAATTTCGATGAAGTTTTGTACATTTCCGGATGAAGTTTATGAAATTAGTTTCTTATAAAACACGAACTCATCTTCCTAAATATTGAGTTTTGGTGTACATTTTTTCGATAATGTACCACTTATTTTAATCGAATTTCTGACTGATGTAGCGAAACTCAGTTCATTCACTCTTACTGCCCAGGATGGAAAATATGATACATATAGGTAAACTTTATTGTTTAATTAAACGCTTCTAAAAGAAAACTAAGAGTTGGTTGGTATATCAGAATAGTTTTTAAAAGCACTATATATTTGAAAAACAATTCACAACTTTTGATAACTTTGATATGATTGGCTTTATATTCTCATTCAGACTATCTTATTTTATCCCCTAATCCTTTCACTTCTATGCGCCTATAACTATTACGGTTACATGAGGCCACCAGGATATATTCATTATAGCATAAATATCATCACGTAACTAGTTGTGTCTTGATTTTGATAAGAAGAAAATTAATTATCACTATTATCGTACTTCATTACAGAGTTTATAAGGCTTCTTTGAAAAATAACTATTTTACGTAGACAAGTCACTCGTAAATACGGGTCAAAATATTTTAGAAAGCTTTTAATTTATAAATTTAAACTAATATATCTAAAAAAGGATAACTAGTGAATGG